TTCTATGAAATGATTCTATTTTTGGTAATATAAAAGCAAATAAGTTAAATTTATGAAACTTTTGACCGAATCATATGACTAGACAATGTGTATTCATCATCGATCTGACTATGTTAATCTAGTCACCTTGGTAGTACGATAAGCTATACAGTGAGAAAGAAGATTTTCTTCATTGAACTATTCTTCTTCTTGCTTTATGACATAACGATCTTCCTTAGTTGTTTGAATCCAATAAGAATAATTAGAATCCCATTTAAATAAAGAAAAACTTTTACATAATACACTTGTAGTGGCGTTGAAGTTGTCGATTTTGCTGCGCATTCGTATGTCGGAATCGCCAGTTATGTAGTACCGTGCTTCGATAATAGTTCATTTTGATAACCATTATTATACCAATCTTAACGGTGTATAAAATCATAAGGCAAAAGGAAGCGGCAACTACATTTTTATTGGTAATCGATGAAAACCAGAAAGCTGTGGGCACATGAGCAAGTGTAAGCGAGCGAAGCAAATATGATGCGTATTGGAGATTGCTGAGAAGCCAACTCCATTTAAGCAAGCGTTAATCAGCATTTATAGTCGGACAAAATTGAGTGACAGACATATGATGAATAAGGTACGAAGTGTACAAATATATGCTCATATAAAAGTATAGCCAAGGTTAATAAGCCCTGGTACGGCCGAGAGTGGGGAGAGTCTACTCTCCCTCTCGAAATGCTCTCACATGGCCAGCGAATATATAGCCTCTGCCAGGGAAGTCCTACTCACTGCCTTCTCGTGGCACCGCTGTTGTTTACGAAAGTGAGAGGACGAAAAGCGAATGTCCGGCGCTATAACCGGATTGTTGGACACGGAGGATCCACCTAGTGGAGTTGGAAAACCCTGATTCCAAACCAATGGTACACATGGGCTCCAGTATCCTGATGGAACGAATGGCGGATGAACCTGTCATTGGTCAACGGCTACCATGGGACTGCATCTCCTCACGATGCTCCACTGCCTTGTGGATCAGACCTTTTGGTCAAAGGCTCGGGGTGTGGTCCCCTAAGAAAACCACCTGCTTCGGTCTGGGCACCCGGGCAGTATCACAGCCCACACACAAATGAATGAAATGACGAACTCTATTGACGATTCTATTCCTGCTCATATTATAAGCAAGACAATCATTATTATTATTACTATTATTATTATTATTATTATTACTTACCATATCGCTAATTCACCCCCTTTTATCCCCAATTTGTGTAACCTTACTTTTCAACTGATGCAGCAGCTCGCCCATGGTGGAAAATCTGTCCTATCTAAACGATCTCTAGTCACTGTCTGGTTGAAAGTGAATGCTTCCACCGATTATGAATACTGAAGCAGTCTTTCTGAAACCACGTACGCTGTTCAAGCTGGCTTCCTTCAACGTTCGCACACTAATGCTGATCAGACAACAGATAGGGCTGGCTATGTCTTTAGAAGGTCTTAATGTTGATGTTTGTTGTCTATCCGAGACCCGTATTCAAGTAGTACTACAAGAAGTACTTCAAGAAGTACTACAAATCCGCTCTCCATCTGTCGCCTAGAAAAGCTTGTTCCACGTGCGCTTATCCGGGGACCCTGTGGCATCTTCGTCTGGTCTTGCTGGCGCTTGCGGCTTCACGAAACGTCCCGCTTACAAGCACTGGGTTTCTTCTGGCTCCTTACAACTGATGGAAGCCCGTCGATCTACTCCGGGTGACCGTGAGTTTGACCACAAACGAAGGCTGTTACGTAATGAAATCAAGCAAAGCTTGCGTAAGGACCGGGAAGTCTGGTGGTCGGAGCGTGCTAATGAGATGGAAGCAGCAGCTGCATCTGTTAACTGCCGGAAGCTCTTCCAACTCATCCGAGCCACTGGTAGCAAGAAGTCTGGTGTGAGTGAAACAATCTACGAGGATGATGGGATGCCAATCATCTCTCGACGTCTTGGACGATGGGCTGAATTTTTCGAAGGGCAGTTCAACTGGCCTGCTGCTTTGGCAACATCAACCAGCTTGTCCTGCCCCCCATGGCCGGTGACGACTGATCCACCAAACGAGGCGGAAGTCCGCAAGGAACTCCAACTCTTGAAACGTTACAAATCACCTGGCCCAGATGACTTAACTCTGGCTCTTTTTAAAGATGGTGGTGACCTTCTGACTAAGGAATTGACTGTGTTGTTTGGAAAGGTTTGGGAACAAGAAAGTGTTCCAACATCATGGAATGAGTCGATAGTCGTCCCTATCTTTAAAAAGGGTTCACGTTGTTCCTGCAATAACTATCGGGGGATAAGTCTACTTCGGATTGCGTCCAAACTATTGGCTTCTATCATTCTTTGTAGGTTGTTTAAAACCCGAGAACGATTGACTGGCGAGGAGCAGGCTGGTTTTCGTTCTGGTAGAGGATGCATTGACCACATCTTCACCCTCCGCCAAATGTTAGAACACCGTCATACTTATCGCAGGCCAACAATCGTAGTGTTTCTTGATATCATGGTGGCCTTCGATTCGTTGGACAGGACTGTTCTCTGGGATTGTCTATTGAAGAAGGGTGTGCCTGAGAAGTTCATTTACATCTTAAAGGCCCTGTATACGAACACCTCAGGCAGAATGAGGGCATACAACCACCTTTCTCCCTTGTTTCATTCGAGCAGTGGGGTTAGGCAGGGTTGCCCGATCTCACCATTCCTCTTCAACTTTGCCATCGACGACATCTTGGAAACAGCTCTGGTGGATGTAAGTAGTGGCGGTGTGGATATGTTGCCTGGAGAACGACTTCTCGACCTTGAGTATGCGGATGATATTGTCTTACTGTGCGATAATGCTCAAGCCATGTAATCAGCACTTAATCAGTTGGCAATCAGTGTCCGCAGGTACGGTATGTGCTTTGCACCCTCCAAGTGCAAAGTACTCCTACAAGACTGGCAGAATTCTCATCCTGTACTCACCCTGGATGGTGAGCAGATTAAAGTAGTTGAGAAGTTTGTGTATCTAGGTAGCTATATAAGTGCTGGTGGTGGCGTGAGTGATGAGATTGATGCACGTATAACGAAAGCCAGAGCGGCTTATGCCAATCTGGGCCATCTTTGGTGCCTTCGTGATGTTAGTCTGGCTGTAAAAGTTCGGATCTAGAACGCGTCGGTGAGAGCAGTTTTGCTCTATGCTTGTGAAACCTGGCCTCTCCGAGTTGAGGATGTTAGACAACTCTCTTTGTTCGATCATCGTTGTCTCCGAAGGATTGCTGACATTCAGTGGCAACACCATGTTAGTAATGCAGAGGTTCGGCATCGTGTGTTCGGGCGCAGAGACGATAATTCAATTGATGTCACCATCTTGAAACACCGACTTCGGTGGCTTGGACATGTTTTACGAATGTCGTCCCAGAGACAGACTTCTACGTTGTGCATTATTTGCCGTTTCTGGGACTGGTTGCAAAAAGCGGAGAGGGGGTCAGTGTATGACATGGTGTCGTGGCATGGAAGAAAGCTGCAAAGGGCTAGCTTCTGTTGGTCCTTCACGATTCCCTGGCTGGGGTCCGAGAGATGGTGCAACACAGTGGCTAGAGACGTTATCAGATATGGCTCAGAATAGAAGCCAGTGGCGAGCCTGCTGTAACCTTCTTTTACTTTCTTCATAAAGAGTGGCTATAACTTTCTTAACTGAGAGAGCTCTTCTGGTTGTACATTTTAGTCAGCCTTATCTGTTCATCCTTTCTTTTACTACTTTCATTATTTTGTGTGGCGCATATGTATCTGGTGCATTTTTGTACCAATATATATGTGTTTAAATAAATAATAAATAAAATAAATAAGCGAATAATGAACAAGATCAAAATATGACACATGACAGGCGAATCGGCTTGTCCAGTAGCTAGGATAAAGTATATGGGCTTAACAAATAAACTGATACTACATACTTACCATGGTTACAATTGCTGAGTTCGGTTGTCTTAGAGTTTGGAAACTTTTAGACAAGTCAGTTGAAGTTCATAAAGAATGTTTAGTACAGGACTCAGTAGCTTAGTGGATAACGCGATGGTGTTTGAAGTGAAAGTTAGTGGGTTCTAATGCCAGAGTGAACATCAACGAGTCTGAGACGCAAGTACATCCAGCTGACGAGTCCGAAACAGGATGAAAAGCGCATCAAACTGGATTCCACTGTTGTCACTATCCATCTTTGCTTATAATGTTTGTGAATTAAGGCAATATCGAGGCAATAGGCACAGTATACACATATGCTAACTACACACTGACTAGTTGCAGTTCTAAACATCAATGGAATGATTCAAACAAACAATACTAAGTGAATGTTTAGCATGGTGTTTTAAAATTTGGTCAAGGGTTTTCAAACGAATAAACTTCTTATTATCATAGATCTCAAAGTAGTAGTTGTTGCATATATGGTATTGAAAATCATCTGTCATCTTTCTGTTGAGCATCAATTCCTTTTCTCTTCAACCTGTCTTCTATATAAAGTGTATACTGTAGACGTTCACTTATTGTTCAGATGTAAGCAACTTTAAAATATAATGTAATTGTCGTAATTCTTTTGCGCATGAGGTTATTAAGGAGATTGAATTTCGTAATTTTATTGTATGAACTGACCTACGTTAGAAAAATAGTGGAATTTAGGGTACTGTGGATAGTTGCTATACCTTCTAATGCGACACTAGCAATCCAACCGGAAACCTATGTGTCTTATGAAAAGACAATTGTTAGCTTTAACATAATTTCTTTAGAAATCAAAGTTTCACATTTCCGAGTTCAGTCGGTGCATACAAATGTGTGACAACTATCAATGACAAGTGGAAGAACTTTTCTCACTACAGAAGACGTTGGATTACACTGGTTACGACTTAACGTGAGATTTCTTATACATATGCATTTCACAAAAACGCAATGTAACAAAAAACATTGGGAGTCTATAATTTATGGACGAGCCAAAGAGAAGCGTTGAACGGATTTCAAGGTCACAGCGCCAATTTCAGTACCTCATGCTCATGTACAATCGGTTCACAGAAGATTTTAGAGAAGATGTGACAATTAAACGGCTACAATAAATGGGATTACTGAGAAGTTCCTTTATTTGTAATTGTGGTAATCAATCGACTTATGGACCTTGTACGGACTACCCTGATGATGTTATCTTTCGATGTTATATATGTTAAAGGAGGAAGTCTGCTAGAATATGAACTTTTTTCACTCGATCCAGATTGAGACTAAGACAAATTATAATAATTGCTGTGAACGGAATAATAAAAGCATCAATATTATTGGCTGAAATATTCGCAGATGTTATCGAAGCCTCGTCTATTCAGAGATATAGATATTGTAGGGATATATGTGTAATAAAAATGACAAACTTACACAACCAGAGTACACACAAACAATATTAAAGCTATGTGATCGAGGTTGAAAGAGTTTTTGCGACCCTAGCATGGTTCCAGAGACTAACAATTATTATGAGTTCCTCTACCTTATGAATTACGATTTAAAAACATTTGAACCTTTTTCAAACCCTGTAAAAGGATTGTATACACTCTAATTATTCGGTGTTGAATAATATATTTCTATAGTTGAAATCATGAGTCAATTGAGGCTACACCACTATGGAAAACCTGGAAGCACCGCTTGACAGCCGTGTCGTCCTATTGTGCGACTCCTCAGCAGTGTGCATCCACGATCCCGCACTCGCGAGATTCAAACTAAGGACATACCAGTCTCGCGACAGAGCACTTGACCGACAAAGATATTTCCTGGAGTTCTGGTGACAAGCAGTGACCAGTAGATTCAAACGTATCTGTTTTAAGATAGTAACTCACTGAAGACAATAGTAAATGCTTGCTCAATTTCGTGGATTGGTTGAATTTAGACATTAACACTGTTCGATGCTAGCCGACTCGGTGGTCTAGAGATAGAGTTGGACAGAGATGGATGGAGAATGCCAAAGAGCGGCCTATGCTCCTCGACGAGGGGTAACAAGCGTAAGTAAGTAGTAAGTTGTCCTGTAGACCTTGATCGTCATTGGTTATTGTTGACCTTTAACCTATCATTTTCTCCAACTTTATTTTAATTCTATCTCCTATTGATTTCATTATTTCTGGTTGATAAATTGGATATATTTCAATGTGTTTGTTGATTATTGATTGTCATAGTTGAAATGATGAGTCAATTGTAGCTAGACCATCATGGAAAACCTAGCAGCACTGGACAGCTGTTTCGTCGTATTATGGGACTCCTCCTCAGCAGTGCGCAGTCACGATCCCGCAGTCGCGAGGTTCAAACCCAGAACCTACCAGTCTCGTGCCAGAGCACTTAACCGATTGTTGATTGACTTTAGTGTCAAGTTTCTAAAAATTCTCTGGTTGTTTTTAGAATTGCCTCTATACAAGATCTCAACATTTTTTCAGTTGAATGTGTGTCCATAGTTGTTCACAAGCATTGATGTAAGCGAAGATATGTCATGGAGTTTGATCGCTAATTGATGTTCATGAAGACGAAGATGAATAGGTTGTCCGCTTTGTCTGATGTATTGTTTTTTTGCAGTTGGAACAATTGAGAATACTTAGGAACAAATACTTGATTCATGAGTACTGAAACATGATCTAAGTTAATCAATAATGGTCAATCATTCATCTAATCGAAATTGACAGTCTTACTGAAATCTCGATCTAAACTATACTTAGTATCAATGTTCTTATTGTTCTAAGTAGTATATTCAATCCGATCATTAATATATGCATTATTATTTACTCTTCTAAACAACAGCATATCATTCCAGCAGTAGTGACATTACTCGAAGCATTTATATGTCGACCGAAATCTGTCTTATTGTGGAAATCATTTGTTGTATGTTACATACTGATGACAGTCTACAATATCTAGTAAGTCAATATAGAAATAAAATTATTTCAATATTCCTTTTTGACATGGGTTATTTTTGACGTCTACACTTCAATGTTCCGTGCCTAAACTTCAATTCGGTTGATCTACTCGTCACCACCATTTCATCTTGCATATGGACTAATGAGAATGAACGAAACTAAGCACGTATCGCACGATATTATACTCTCAGAATTCATGAAGTAGTGATATGATTGAGTAGAAATGCAGCTTAGGAAGATTCAATTGGTGGTGTTGTGTCCACACACACACACACACACGGACACTGATGTACATTCACATCAGGCAATCATAAATGAACACGTTGAACTGGAATGTTCATTTCTACACGAAGTAGGGAGTACAGTCTATTACTATTGGCATTTGATAACAGTGCGAGTTTCACAAGAGACTTATCCGATTGTCAGAGTAGAAACATCCAACAGTCTTGGTTTGGTAATTAAGTTGATATTTTATTGATACTTTGATGAGGTCCTTCATTTTGACGCCAAGCGGATCGGATGATGTTATCGACGATCTCATCAGATTAGTGATCCGATATCTTTATCTACTTAGATCGTTTGTATGATTGTTATCGGAATATACATGTCACCAATCGTTGCATATAATTGTCGACTGAACTCACATTAGTGAATACCGGAGTTGAATAAGTCAAATACGAGAATGAAGTTCGTATACGTGTATTTAATACAATCATTGATACAGACAAACGATTGAAGAAATGAAGCGAAGAAAGCTAATTGAAGTGAACGAAGTGCGATGACACTTAGTGAAGAAGGCATGTGAACCATCTCGATATAATCCGCTGTGAATTGATTTTCATAGTCAGATATGTGATGGTTAGAATATGAAGTGCACACACACATATATGCTGATATAAGAAATGGTCAAGGTTGATAAGAGAATAATTGACAATGTCAAATTGTGTGAATGAATAAATTGACTTGTCCAGAAGCCAAAAGAACTTAGGTGAGCTTAACATAGTAACTGACACCATACTATAGTCATTAACAAACTGATATAATTGAAAGAATTTGTAAATAATGAAGTTTCTTTATTAGACTAATATGGTACTATGCATATCAATTAGTGAAATGATGTAATAGGTAAGGTGTAAGTGTAAAGTAGAAAACAGAAAATAATGTTTATAGAGTTGAGATCATGAGACAATTGAAGCTAAACTACCATGGAAAACCTAAAAGCTCTGGACGACCGTTTTTTCCTATTGTGGGACTCCTCAGCAGTGTGCATCCACGATCCCGCCTCACGAGATTCGAAAGCAGGACTTACCACTCTCGCGCCAGAGCACTTAACCGACCGCCGAGGCAGTACCCAACGGTTTTAATGTCCAACTTCAAACGATCCACGAAATTGAGCAACCATTAACAATTGTCTTCAGTGAGTTAATATCTCCCAACATCATTATCATCATCATAATCATCATCATCATCCAAATCATCATCATCATCCAAAACATCATCGTCATCCAAATCATCATCATCATCCAAATCATCATCAACATCATCATCATCGTCATCCAAATCATCCTCACCATCATCATCATCTTCGTCATCCAAGTCATCATCATCGTCATGATTAAGGGTAAATGAACTGATTTGCATATAGTTATCACTTTCAATTGATGCATATCAAATGTTTATTTTCATTTCTTTATAGTATGGAAGTTTCAATTGTTGCGTTGCAATTCAGTCCATATCCTAAATTAGACAAAATTCCTACTGTTTATCGTTATCTTGTTTATCTTATAAGTTGGGGACTGGTAACTATATTCACTCTTGTCAGTTATGGAATTCTTCGATTTATTGGACGTAATGACAATGATATTCGTGAACTAAAAATGGAGTGAAATACTCTAGCTTGATTGTGAACAGATATTCAGTCCTATTTCTTACAAAAGATTAACACATTTATATATTTGCAGAATGTTGTATAATAAAACAATTTTAATGTTTGTATATTTCCTGGATATTGAAAGTTAGTCACAATTGATTGAAAACTTGGTGGTGATCAATTTCATGCGTGTCAAGTCACCCTTAGTGCTGGTCGGATTGTGATTACATCTCAGTACTACAGGAGGTTGGTGGTTACCCGAATAGCTCAGTGGTAACGTCTCTGATTGTGAAGCTAGGTGACTCGGGAACGAATCCGTCAGGGAGCACCAGTTCCTTTAAGATAACAGGTACACCTTGCTGATGAGTGCCAAGTAGCACGAAACGCTGGTCCAGGGTTTCCTGTTGACCACTTCCAACCATCATCCTATTGAAGTTAGTAATACACATTATAATACTCGAATTCTGTAAAGAAGAAAAACTGGGAATCGAATAAAATAGTAAAGGAGTTAAACTGACAGTAAAACGTTGGACATGAAAAAGTCTATGGTTTGGTTGAATTTGTCAATTAAAAATAACACCGTGTTGAGAAATCAACGAGATCCACACTGAAAGGTATGTTATTGTTTAGGGAGAGAAATCTAGAATATATGATAGGTATCAATACCAAGGTTGAACATCATAGTTTTAAATAAATTGAGCATTGGATAGAAAGTTAATGACAAATACATTCTTGTTATATCCTAATGAGCAGGAAATTATATTTCTGAAGTTTCATGAATGAATGTAAGCCACTTACTTGTTCAGAAGTAAATAGATAGATCCTTACAAAACCGACTGAGCCACTCAAAGACCCACATTAATCTAGTGGATCGTTCTAGATATGGTAGGTACCACCATAATGTACGTGTTACTATGAGGATAACTTCAAATGTCCAGGTCGATGGGATAACGTTAGCACAGTTTGAGCCTCTCCACTTTCCTAGTGCGGACGCGTTGATGTAAAGTGGGTTGAATTTAGATGTGTACGAATGCACTGTAGATATTGCTATATCAGGCACTTAATCCGACTCACAACAGCTCAACTGGAGACTGCACAGTAGTTGACTAAAAGATGGAACTTGTAATTAGCACATGCTCGAGTTTTTTTTCCACTCAACAATACAATTACATAGTCTAATACCAGAAAGTCATCCAAAGTGACATCCTTAACCGGTGACATGGTAACTTGTCGTTCATAATAAACTGGACCAGTTGGATATAGTGTAACAGATAGACATAGAACAATGGCAAAGTATCGACTTCATTTTCAAGCAAGTACACACAATCTCATGGTAATGTGACCTATTCATAGGAGTGAGAATGATGCTTAATACATGTGAGTGTACACATAAACTCAATTAGATTCAGTTTCAGACAACACAGTTTCCTACCCGATTGAGTATCTGGATTGGTCTCGGAGACAGAAAGCTAGTGTATGAGAATTAGACTCTGAAGACCACATGAGCTCAACAGTCATCGATTGCGGTACGTACGGCAGCTAACCTCCAGTACAGTCCATGTCAATGTATCCGAATTAACAAAAAGCATCAAAAATACTCGTGCCCTATCTTGTTTAGATTCGATTCCCATTTATTAGCGGAACGTTTGATAGAATCTGAACAGCTAGTCTGTGCGCATACGAAGTTTAAAAGCGCTCGTATAATCTCAGACAAAGCCACCAATCAAAGATTAACACAAAAGCGTACCATAAACGAAAATAACATTGTTGAGGTCACAACAAATGTGATCGCGCCAGCATCTGAACCCACGGGTGCAGCTAATTTATCTCATGTTAGTCAGTGTACTGATATACCAATGCAGTGTGTTAGTTTGCCTCTCATACCTTTAGTGGCCCTAGATAACCAGGACATATCTGATGGAGACTCTAATGTCATTCTTTCCAGTGTAATATCGGAAGCCAAGGATCGAACACCTGACTCTATTGTGAAGGCTTATAAAAACACTGCTAAACCTAGAAAGAATATACCAATTAAGAAGAAAGTAAATATAAAACCTAGTTCTAAACCGATTACCAAAATTATTTCAACTGCTTTACCAAACAAAAGTATAATTTCTGAAACTATGCTTAACCCTACTCATCGTAAGGGAGGTTATAAGGACATATGTCGTTCAAACGTTACACGAGACGGCCACTACAACCATCATGTAAGCAGGCCTACTATTAGACAGACGGCAATAAACCAACGTGCCCCATGGTTTCCCCCAAATGTTATAAATAATAAACCTGCAAGATGTAACTCTTATCATCACTCCTGTAGTGGGGAAGATGGTATACTAGGTTATGCACCATCAACGCAACCCCAACATGCAGGCACCTATCTTAATTGTCCACCAAAACAAGTACAACAAATTATTCAACCTTACCAAAATAAGGATTTTTTCGGCCTCCAGAGATCCCTTGTTCCACTAGCACTACAATTCGCTCATGCTATAGCCCATGCGATCCGGCAAACACATTAAACCATAGTTCAGGCATAGCTAGAACTCATACCATCGATAAGGATGCTCTCGGTTTTTTTACACTACACACTCCCTTTTTAAACTTATTACTTATTAACGCACGTTCACTTGTGAACAAAATCTCAGCCTTGAGAACCTTAGCCTTTCTAGCCAAGCCTTCTTTTATACTTATCACTGAAACGTGTTGTTATCCAGCAGTGGCCAATTCCGAATTAAATATTCAAAATTATTGACTCTATCGTTGTGACAGAGAAACTAAGCGAGGAGGCGGTTGTCTTATATTTGCTTTGGATACCTTAACAACTAACAAAGTTGAAGATAGTATCTTGAATAGTTTACCAGAATCGATCTGGATATCAATCAATACCCCAAACCATAGTCTACTCCTAGGTTGTATATATAGAGCTCGTGATAGTACTGATAATTTGGATGATCGTATTATCAATGGATTTATACATGCATCTACTCTAAACTTCAGCGCTAAGATTATCACTGGTGATTTCAATTATCCTGGGATTAACTGGAGTACAGGTAGCTGTCAGTCTAGCAATGATGAATTTTTATCAATCCTTAATCTGTACTGCTGGTCACAGTGGGTTCGTACCCCAACAAGGGGTGATAATACACTTGATCTAATTTTTAGTAGAGATATCATTCCCCTATCTGTACAAGTATACAACGAGTTTGCAAGCAGTGATCATAGGATAGTAGCTTGTGCTCTCCCCATCCATCCCTCCTACAACCGACCAATTCAAAGAACCTGCAAGTATAGAGACTATAAGCATGCAGACTGGGACCTCTTGTGTTCACTGATCAAACTCTCAGACTGGGATGAATTCTTCTCATGTAATAGTCTGACAAATGCCATCAATATATTCTATTTCATTGTTAACTCTTGTCTAGACTCCTGTGCACCAATTAAGACTTACAGGATTAGTAAACATTACGAATTATATATACCAGCTAAATATCGTAATAAACTTAGACGCCTAAAGAAACGTTATTTTGAATCTAACGACCTCACGGTAGTCACACAAATAACAATAATTTTCAATCAAATTAAAGAGAAACATAGGTTAAAAGCCCGATATCCAACTTCTTCTCCTCAAGCTATTTACTTTCTCTATGGAATCAGGCTCTTATCCTGACCGTTGGAAAACCGCGTACATCATACCACGTTACAAATCCAGAGATAAGACTGACATGAACAACTATTGGCCAATAAATATTACTCCAGTTATCTCTAGAATTATGGAAAAAATTATTAGTGACGAACTATCCAACTATTTATTGACTGAACAATTTATTGATGATTCGCAACATCGATTTCTTAAGAATCGATCCTGTATGATATGTCATTTTGACTTCTTTAATTTAGTCTATTCGCTTCGCAGCCAAGGATATCTAGTATTAGTGCTATACCTGGACATTTCTAACGCCTTCGACATGGTCAACCACCAACTTCTCATAGCTAAGCTCGCATCTTATGGGGTCGAAAACCCGTTACTAGCCTGGTTTGATTCCTTCCTCAGCAATCGACATCAAATAATTAAAATGAACTCTTCATTGTCGAATGCCGTCCCTGTTAGAAGTGGGATAATTCAGGATAGTGTCTTAGGTCCTTTGCTCTTTTTAGTTTTCATTAATGATATTTGTGAGCGTTTTAGTGTGGGTAAGTCCCTTTTGTTTGCAGACGATCTTAAGGTGGTATACTCATTTTCTCCACATGAGCTGAGCAATATTCAAAATTGTATCAGCACGGAGCTTAACAAGGTAGCACAGTGGTGCTCGAAATGGCAACTGGAGCTCAATACAGCTAAATGTGGTTGGTTATGCTTCGGTGATGCATCACTCAAACTCAATCTTACCATAAATGAGGAAATGTTTTCTAGGTTACACACAGTAGTAGATCTAGGACTTAGGTACTCCGACGACTTGTCGTTTACTGAACAGATAATGAAACGAACGTCCAAGTCTCAACGCCTTATAGGTTTCATAACTCGAAACCTTCATAGCAGCAAATCTCGTATTCTAATGTAAAAAGTCTGTGTTCGACCACTCCTCGAATACTGCGCGTTTCTCCTTAGTAGCACGTGCATAAAAGATAAATTAGGACTGAAATCAGTACAGAGACGATTTACATTTCGTACTCTTGGAACTGATAGTGTCTTCACATATAATTCGAGGTGTAGTAAACTAGGGCTTGACCCTTTATGGATGAGGAGACTCAAACGTAACCTTATCTTCTTTTTCAAAATACTTAACAAACTCTCCTTCACATCCAGTCAGGCGATTCAATATGCTAAAGCCCCACATTACGACATTCGTAACTCCTTGTCTTTAGCGAAACAAACATATTCTAGATCTTCTCTCTATATGAATTACTTTGCCTGTAAGTTTTCTAGGCTCTGGAATAATTTACCCCAAACTATCCGTATGTTATACTCTTTCTCATTATTTGTTCGCTCAATTAATGCCTATTGCTCCTCTGAAAATGCATTAAATGCTCTAGCCCCTGTAAATGCATCTTACTCCACAAGTGAGATTATAGGAACTTTAAATGTTTAACCTCTTACTTGCTATCATTGTTTTGGTGTTCCGTGCTCTTTGCTT